TGGTCACCGCCGAAACCTGGGGTTCCAGGCTCAGCGATGAATCCAGGATCACACCCAAACTGCGAACCTGCGAACCTGTGGATTATCTACTTTGATAATCTGGATTATATGGCAGTGTAGGAGGGGTCTTGGTGATAATCAAAGTTCTGTAAACCATGAATCCTATGAGGAGCATCTTAAAGAGCTGGGTATATATAGTCTGCACAAGAGAAAGTTGAGAGGAGACATGATCGCCATATTTAAATATTTGAAAGGATGTCATAAAGAAGAAGGTCCTGGAGACTAGTGCCCCTTCTACACTGCCATATAAAGTCCAGATTATGTGCTTTGAATTGGATTATATGAGTCTACACTGCCATATGATCCAATTCAAAGAAGATAATCTGGATTTTATATGGCAGTGTAGAAGGGGCCTAGGACTCAGGGCAATGGGTTCAAATGACAGGAAAGGAGATTCCATCTGAACATTAGGAAATTGAGCTATACCAGAAATTATCTCCTTTACCTGTATTTATTGATTTTGTTTCTTTAATACTACTGGAATATAATGAAGATAGTTATATTTTACTTATGCAACCCAATATAAATAATTTTTAAAATAATTTAAAAAAGGGAGAACTTCCTAACCATAGAGCTTTTCAATAGTGGAACTCTCTGCCTTGGAGGTTAGTGGAAGCTCCTTCTTAGGAGGCATTTAAACAGAGGCTGGCTGGAGGAGGTGCTTGAATAGTGCTTTTCCTGCTGGCAGAATGGCGTTGGATTGGATGGCCCATGCAGTCTCTTCCAAACTCTATGAATCTATGAATAATAAATGTTCTTTATTACCTGCCTCTCCTGATGGCTCAAGACAGGCTACAACAAAGCCAAAAAAAACATAGGAACATAAAATATATGCAATAAATAACATAGATAAAAACACAAACACATTTTAAAAGCAGTTGTAAAATGACAACACCCAAGATTCCATAGCCTTGGGCCATGGCAATTGAAGTAATGTCAAACCCGGTGGGGAGGAGTCTGAGAAGTAGCCTGCCTCCAATGAAGCTGGAACACAATCTCTCCCTACTCTTTTCAGCTCTCAGCTTTTTCAAGACATGCATTTTGTAAAGTCAGTAGAGATTTAAGAAAGAAAGAAAATAACCAAACGTATTCCCCCTCAACTTGGCTCAGATGTAACAGGAGGGAATTGAGCAAAACCACCACTGGATTATTAATATTATATTTATTTATAGACCACTTTTTTTCTCTGAAGGAGACTCCAGGCAACAAACAGTAGTAAAAACAATACCATACACAGTGAAAAATCGTAAAAGCTACACATTACATTGGAATTCAACCATGTGCTACTTAAAAATGAATAATAGAAACCATAAAAACCAATTCAAAATACATAAAAATATTACAAAGCACTCCCTGGCTTGGTCTTAATTTTTTTTTTCTTCTTTAAAAGCCTGCCTGAATGAAAAGATTTTAGCCTGCCTCCGGAAGGACAGCAGGGAGGCTGTTAGAACACACACGCCTTCAATTCTTATATGAAAGCTTGGGTTGGGATTTCATCATTCTCGTGAAAGATTTCATAACTTCATTGCTGACATTCAGATTGAATGGCTGTCAAGATACAAACATGAAGTATTTTGAACTGTGCTGTTGACGTTGATCTGTGGTGTATTTCCCCAGCAAAGGTCAGGAGTGAGACCATGTCAGAATTCTAAAACTGTTTCAAAAAAAGGGTTATAGATTTCACTCACTCTCTTCCTGAGTCCTGCATAAGGACAAAAGTGGACTAAAAACCAAATAAATGAATAATATAACCCAACAAACATTTTTTTTCTCAGTGTCTTGGTTTTTAGTCCTGTTCCTGGGGTTATTTGATTCAGAAAATTGCATTGGACAGACCACATCAGCTCTAGTTTCTTAGATATGGTTATCATGGTTCTCTATGGGTGAGCAGATGGTGACTGGTAGATGGCATGTGTTCTGTATCTCAAAAACTAGAACTGATAGGAGAAAAGCTGGTGCCATTTTTGGAATGAGCAAGTCAGATATACCCAGAAACAGAGCTAACATTTAAGGCACCAAAATGTGAGTTGGTCAGTGTTGTCTATTTACAAATCTTCATGTGTACTATTATAAAGATGTGAGAGTATTACTCTACATTATTTATTTATTTATTTATTTATTTATTTATTTATTTATTTATATCCTGCTTTATCTCCCCCAAAGGGGACTCAAAGCAGCTTAACATAAAAGCATTAGCATAACCATTTAAAATACACAAATATACGAACATTAAAACAAGATTAAATATAAACAGTATTAAAAATTCCCAGTTAAAAACTATTAGAACAAATTCAAACTACATTACACATTTCAGTATTTATCTTTTGGTTGTTGGCTGTACAACATCATTTCATTTTCCTTTCTACGTGATATTTGGTTGCTGTTGCATTTGCATTTAATATTTATGATCAACCGAAACAATAGCTGCCTTGTAATTGTAGTTTTGATGTAATTGAGGCAGGCAGGCTGTTGAGGCCCACTGGCTCCTGCCTTCCCTGGACCTCAGAGGACACTATTGAGAGACATTTCTGAGATTTAAAATATTACCCCTCCTGCAACCTAAAATTGCCCCCATGCAATCTTAAGCCAAACCTGGGGAGATCAGGGTATATGGGATTCTGGACACCAGCTATGAGGAGGCTCATAGGACCCATTGGGTTCATTTTGTCCATCCCTGCATAGCTCACAAGGTTGGAATATGCAGTACTAGTTTGAGCCCGACCCTGAGGTATAAAATCACACTTGCTTTTTGCATCTTTCAGTTCGGGCATTAAGGAGTTTCTCAAAACAGAGTTCATAGCACATCTCCTTCCTCAAGAAGCTAAAACAACAACAGGGATAAATATACATGGTTATTTTTCTCCTTCCAGCTATAAGAGAAATTATATGCTAATCAAGGTGGTCATTTGAAACATTCACACCTAGCTCCAGCAGACAAGAGTCCTTTGTCTCACCCTGGTCATTCCACAGATATATAAACCCTTTCTCCTAGTTCCAACAGACCTCACTACCTCTGAGGATGCTTGCCATAGATGCAGGCGAAACGTCAGGAGAGAATGCCTCTAGACCATGGCCATACAGCCCGAAAAACAACCCATAAGAGAAATTGCAACAATTTCCTCACTAGCATTAGTCTGTGTGCATGTACTTGAATACTCTGTATATATAGACTTGTTTTTCAAATTTAGCTGAATCCTGCATGCAAATTTATTCTCCTAATTCCATATTATTTTCTTTTGTCTTTGTTTTTGGAATCAATATAACAGACATCAACAGCACAAAGCTGGTGGATATGGGGACCTCTCACATCTCTACAGTCCTTTGGATGCCTTTACCTGGGTATGTGTTAGGTATTCTGTCTGTCATCAAATTAGAGTGGCGATTGCTTGATTAGAAGAGAGTGCTTTGATGGCAGACCATAGGAGTATATAATGAAAGTGTGTAAATGCTCCATAAAAATTACTCCAATGCTTTTTTCTCCTTTGTCAGAGTACCCTGGCTGTTCTTACTCTGGAGTTAGTCAAGCAGGTCCGGCAGCTGAGTTCTGTGCAACCAAGGAAAAGAGATGCTGGGGTTCGTCAGCTGGAGGGCCCATTTGCTGTTCTGCCTCAGCATCAGAACTCAGGTAGGTTTGTGAGGGGATGGTGGAATCAAGTTTAGGCAGAATGGACAGTACACCTTCCATCCAATTTGAGTGAGGAAAATACTGAGTTTTCAGATGTTTGGCAAGCTTTTCTGTTAAATGAGAATCCAGACAGTGGCATCTCTTATGAACTGAGAGTGTGGTTTTCTCTGCTTTCAGAAGCTCCCACAGCACCACCTTCTTGCTCCAGTGGCCAAGAGGAACAAGAGATTTTCACAGGAGTGGGCTCTGGATGTGAAGTGAAGAATCCCCCTTCCAATAAAAAACCGCAGCCTAAAGAATATCAGCTTTCTTCAAACACAGGTGCAAATTTTTATTCTTGGTAAGCTAAAAAAAATATTTTAAGCTGATGCCGCAATTTTCCTGAAAGGGAATCCAAGGTGATGAACAAAGTTAACATAAACCTAAAAACAATATTTTAAACACAAGGAATCAACAATAACAGCAATTTGTTGTTTATTTGTTCAGTCACTTCTGGCTCTTCGTGACCTCATGGACCAGCCCACACCAAGCTCCCAGTTGCGTGTGGCCACCCCCAGCTCCTTCAAAGTCAGGCCAGTCATTTCAAGGATACCATCCATCTTGCCCTTGGTCAGCCCTTCTTCCTTTTTCCTTCTATTTTCCCCATCATCATTGTCTTCTCCACAGCAAGACATTTATAAAAAGAGCAGTGAGGCATTTCTCTTGTCCCAGATAGAATAAAGAGGATATCTTGTTGGTTGGGGCCCCTCCCCCCAGCACCAACTGCTGCTCTGGCCCAGAGTGAAGAGGGGGGGGGGGAGGCAGGAAGACAGTTCCACCTTTTCTTCTGTGCTATTCTAATCATATAATGTGTTGTAATGTAATACAATACAATATAATATCATATATTGTATATACATATAATATTTATAACATTATAATGTAACACCATACAATGCTACTAATAATAATAATATGATATTATAATTATATATTTTATATTGCATGTAATATTACTAATAATATTACAATATAATGGTATAGTACAATATAGTAATATATAATACTGATATTGTATGTATATATATCTTGTAAGCCGCTCTGAGTCCTCTTCGGGGCGAGAAGGGCAGCATATGAATGTCGTAAATAAATGAATTAAAATATTTAAGCAAATGTTTTCTGTCTCATAGCAAATATCATCCATTAAATCCATACCAAAAACAAAACTGAAAAGGATCTAGATAGCTTCATTTGTACCCTGCCATTCCCCCAAAACTGACTCAGGCCATCCATGTCAGAGGTCATCACTACGTCTTGGGGCAGTGAGTTCCACAACTTGGCTATATAAAGTATTTTCTTTGACCTACCAACATTCAACTTCAGTGGTTGACACAAGTTTTTGGTATTGTAAGATGGAGAAAAGTGCTGTCCCTTGTCTATTTTCTCTGAACCATAGATAATTCTATATAGTTCTACCACATTCCCCCATTACTTGTCTTTTTTCTAGGCAAAACAGTCTCAGATTTTTCCAGTGTATTGTTGAAGGCTTTCAAGGCCGGAATCACTGGTGTGTTATGTGGTTCCTCTGAAGATGCAGCCAAAACGTCAGGATAAAATGCTGCTAGAACATGACCATACAGCCTGGAAACCACACAACACTCCAGTCCCAGATTGCACTTTCCTCATAGGACAATCTGTTGAACGTTTTGGTTTCCTGTACTTTTTCCAGTTCTACAGTAACTGGACCTGGGTCCATTTCACAGTACACAAATATGGTTTATGTTCTACTTCAGTTTCCTTGGCTGCATCTTGGTGTTTGTACTTTGGTCAGAGGCACAAGAATTGATCTCTGTTTAAGAATTCTAAGCATCCTTCTCCAAACTGCAGATCTAAGAATTCTGTAGGCTGCATCCCTGGCAATTAAAGTGGAGCACAGCACTTTAATTGTGTGACATGAAAGAGCCTCAGAACTATACACTGCATTCCAGATGTGGCTGCACTATGGATTTGTATAACTACAGTATGATAATTGCCAATTTTATTATCATCCCCCTTTTTAATTACGCCCAGTATGAAATTCAGCTTTCTTGCAACAGCTGCATAGTAATTGACATTTTCAACAAGCAGTCTACCAAAATCACAAGATCAGGGTTTTTTTGTTTTTTGGGTTTTTTTGTCAGTCACAGCCAACTTAGATCCATCAGCATACATGAGAAGTTGGGAAAAAGTGATGTCTATTGGGACAAAGTGAACTCCTTACCTTGAGTCTCATTCGTCATTTTACGGCCCATTATCCTTGTTTGGTGAGATGCTTTTAGAGCTCTTAACAATTAAAATTTGTTCTCAGCCTAATTAATTTAGTAAATTTGGTCACATCAGTGTTCAACTCTCACTGTAAATCATTTATGAATGAAATGTACTGGTCCCAATACTGATCATTGAAAGAACCAACTGCTTTCCTCTGAAGATTTACTGGATCCCCTCTTCGTGATCTTTAACCAATTTTCAGTGCATTTCCTCTTATTCTATTACTATAGTTTCTTGAGGAGTCCTTAATGATACTTCATTAAAATCCTTTTGGAAGTCTAATTAGAGAATGTCTACCTGTCTATGGTTTTATTTAAACCTTAAATTAATGAGCCAGAACTTTCCTTTTCAGAAGACTCTTTTGTTGACTCTTTTCTTAATTTTTTTCTTTATACTGGGTGTTTTCTGATCCTCTGGTACAGTGGCCAACCCTAGGATCCTACTTCATATTTTAGTCAAGAGAATAGCAATTTTGGGTTCTGTCAGAACCCTTGGAGGGATGCCATCTAAATCATGCTCATACACTTAAATACTGCAGCTCCTCAAAGAAGTATGTGAACATGCCAATTGAATGTACATCCTTGGTCACAAACAACCATTTGTGTCTTGACATAGGCTTCCCTCTATTCTGGTGAAGCAGAGTATAGACTTCATTGAGACAGACTGATCTGTAAGGTTGATTGCATGGTGTAACCCAGTTCCCAGTCTCTTCTGTAAGGGTCCAAATGTGCATGACATTCTTCCTTTTTTGTCAACAGTTTTGTAATGTGTTGTGTACACAGGTTACCCACTCATGTTGAGTGTGCTAGTCAAATTAGCTATTGGACTCAATTCTCAGTGACTGCATTTACAAGAAGGGCATAAGATAAGAGTTGGTTGCCCATAGTAAGATGTAGTTGAAAATGCTGCTGATTGATTAGAAGAGCTATGGTTGAGAACCTAATACATGGCAAAAAGGCAAATCTCCCAGGGTCTGATCATCTGCTATCTTTTTTATTGCAGGGAGCTTCTTCTTTGCATCTAGTACAGACCTTGAACCAGACTTATGCCAGTTGCATATGCAGGTACTACAAGCTAACTCATTTTCGTTTGGGCTCTAGCATAGATTATATTCATAGCTTTTGTAGTAATGAGAAAGGGGGAAGCCACTGTTCTTCAGGGTGGGAAACAACCGCAATGTGATAGATAGACATGCATTCACAAAATATTTTGTAGATGTTCAAGCTGTTCAGAAAACAATGGTCTTAGTGACAAAATGTTTTCACTTTTAGTCAATCTTTTTTCCAGTTTTGCAGTATGTATTGCAATATGTACATCTACCACTTGATGGCACCAAAGTATTGAAATTACATACTTCAGACTTAATACAGTTTCACTGATAAGTAAAATATTTTTAATTGTCAAGCTTCATCATGTGGCTTACTGTCAGATCTTTCTGAGATATGCAGAGGTGTTGACAGCAGTGTTATGTATTAAGAGATACAATATGGTCTTTTGATATATTTCCCTCTAAAAATAAATTTCAAAACAACTAACAGGAAGTAGACCTTGCTGGAAATATTCTAACTGTAGATAATCTGAAGACTAATAAAAGAGAAGAGACAAAATGGAGAAACCAGGACACAAATGAAGATATGCAGTGTTGTTATGTTCCGTTTTGTAACTTCCCTCATAGTGATATTTCTGCTAGTGATAGTTCAACTGGTTCCCCACCCCCCACCCCCCAAAAAATAGGAAAAACCTAAGGCAACACATCATAGAACATACGTAATCTAACTGTTTCATTTTTATTATCGATTGATCTGTATCTTGTGATGTTGTAAGTTGCAAGTCAGGTTTGCATTTTGCACACATACATGTATGTGCTTGAGTTTAAATTACGAAACATTTCTTCCCAATGACTATCTAGCAATGACTATCTAGCAACCCCATATATTTGCAAACTGGTACAGTGGGTTAGTGTCATGATTATATTGTCACTGTTTATCCTCATGAGACAGCTAGATGCTTTGGAGCTATGGTATATTCCATCCTGTCTCAGAGAAATATAGCTGACCAGCCAGCCACCCTGCCTGCTTGCTTGTTTTCCTTTGGGACAGAATGTCTTGGTGATCACATTTGCAGGTTATAAATGAGGCAACTGCTAATGAACAGCATGTCTTGGTGAAGAAGATAATAAAAATAAATATTAGTAAAAGGGACTGAGATTTCCTAAACTACTTGCACTGTACAATGAAAGCTATGGCAGTGGTTGGCCACAGGTGTATAGAGCTATAACCTATGCACAGTGTTAATTGTTTGCCTTTTCTATACAGGGCAATGTGGCAGAGGAGGTGTCTGTTAATGAAGCTGCTTCTAAAATGGAACAGGTGATTCAAACCAGCATTTCCATGGCATTCAACATTCTCGGTAACAGCTTATCAGGCATATATATAGCTTAACTTTCATTGAGAAAAGATTTGAATGTGTTTATAATATCATAGTTTCTGAGAAAAAGCCTAGAAGGTTGGAGAAACTTGGCAAATCAGTAAGCAGCTTGCAACCTAATGTTATGTTATGAAGTTATATTTTCCTCATTTTGATTTTGATCATGCTGTCCTCACAGCTTCCATTGCTCTGTAAACTACCACCATAACATTCAGTGGAAGTACAACCTACCTCTTCTCCAGCTGCAACATTCACCAACTCTTTGCCCTGTTCCTAATGCTTCTCATCTTGATCTCAGTCACATAATCTTGGTTTAGCCCCAGTTTTGTGGTAGGCCAGGTCTTTGTACAAAGCAACTGACTCCCTATTGCGTGATTCATGAACCACTGGGATTGCAGATAGTTTGCAGAGGACTCTACTGATTGGTCAATGAGGCACTGATCTGCAGAGGAAATTACTATATTGACTACACTTTTCCACTTCTCTGTGCCTTGTGGCAGTGGTAAAGCACTCAATGTCTAAGTTCAGTTTCCCAGCATCTTTAGTTAAAGGGGTATCTAGTAGCAGTACTTGGAAGCACTTGTATAAAGATCTTAGGAAGCCACTGTGAAGTAGGTAGGTCCCATGATGTGATTCAATATGAAGCAGCTTCATATAAGTCAGTGAATGACTTTGTAATGAAATTAGGTATTTTCATGTGTCCTATCTACTGAACTCAGGAGATGTTTCCAAATGAGGTAAGAATAAGAAAAGGAGATTGGATGGATATGATGTATATAAATTTTGTTGCTGTGATGACACGCCCAAGCCTTTGAGGAAACTATATTGTCTGGCTTCACTTGGAGGCTATCTGATAGCTTCTGTTGAGATTAAGACCCTTAGCAGACAGAGGCACTTTGAGGTGAGGTGAAAAGAAACCAAAATAAGTTTACTGAAACAAGAGGAATGAAGGGTTAACTCAACCCGGGACTATCCTGAGGTAACTTAAAACAATACATTACAAAGGGAGCACTTGCTGGGAGAAGACAACTCTCTGGGGTGGTTGAAAGTCTCTTTTGCCTCTGGTGCCAAGCGATGGCTAAAAACCGCCTTAATCTTCTCTCCCTATGAAGCTTGGGCTGACCGAAGACTTCAATTGTCCTATGGACTGGTGGTAAATGCAGCAGTAGCAGTAATGCTAAGAAATGCCTGTTTGAATTGCTAGGCTACTGAGTGCGTCCTGTGAGCCACCCCAAGTCCCTTCGGGGAGATGATGGCAGGATAAAGTTGATTATTATTATTATTATGTTAGTCAAACATTTGTACTCAGGGACTGTCTGTTCTGTAGTCAAGTTCTTAAACGTATATATCTGATAGAATTTATTTACTACTTCATACACCAGAGAATGTGGAAGGGTAGCTCTCATCAAATAAAAGGTAGCAGACCCTCAACTCATGACTCATCTGTTTGCAAGAACTAGGTATTATGTGCCTGCCCACCCGAGGGGCCATTTTTTACTCTTTCAATACTTCTAACTTCCTTTGATTGGAGTAATTGGTTTTCAGACATCCCCTTTCCATGGTTTAAATTTTGACAATAAGTGGCCATTTTGGGCATCTCCATGGAAACACCAATTTTCAGAGAAAGCACTCTTTGTGGGCTTCACCTATGCACCCTGAGTTACAGGACTGTATTTCCAGGCCGCAATTTCCTAACTCATTCTTGTTAAATCATAATTGAAAAATAACAGCCATTTGTGCTGAGTCTATTGTTTCCCAAAGCTTAGTTTCCCAATATTGAAAACTCTCTGAGATTTCTTTTGTTATACCTCCAGTTGTGAAGACTATGTATTAATACATGTAGTGTTCCATAAAGCCGCTGTCTTTGTTCATACATCTCTTAATGTGCTGGTATTTTATAATTCAGTTTCTCTTTGTAGTCTTTCATTGTAATTTCCTTGTTCAAGGACCACAACTTGTAAATCATTTGCTGGTGTTGGGGAGTGTTGAAATGTTCTGCAACACAGTGCTTTGAAGATGTAGAGCAAAGGTCATGGTTTACATCCCATTACATTCCATCCCACTCTCATAACTGTATAAATATATTTTATACCCAATCATTTACTATCACTCTGTGGGTTTATAAACACACAAGCTCACTGTGAATATAAAAACTGATTGGTCTTAAACGTTTTCTTCCTTTTTCCTCCCCTTCCTTCCTCGTTTTTAAAATTTTGAGTAAAATCAAACATTTAAATTTAACGACATTTTTAAAGAATTGAAAAACAAAGAAGTGTGGCCTTCATTTGCTTCATGTCAGAAAGCATTCGTCATCCTTGCCACAGTTGCCCAGCCCCACTGTTACCCAGAAAACCTGAGTTCTTAAAAGCCCCAGTGTGCTTGAATCCAAAAATAAGCACACCAAAGATTTTTATTGCGGCAGCATTTATACAATTCAATAGGGCAATTAGCAGGTCATTACAACCATGTTGCTGATTAGTTAAATCACATTTCTTCACACGTGCATATTCAGTGAACATCCCATAACAGCCATTTATTGAATTCTTTCATTGATTCATTAGCATAGTATTTCTAGTCTAGAAATGTGAGTTTCACCATTATAATGAGCTGTAGGTTACTAAAGTTCAAGATGCCCCCTAAACCTAGCTCCGTTTTCACCCTATTACACTGAGGCCAACCAGACCAACTCTTTAACTAACACCAAGTGTCACGCTAGTATTGTACAACCAATAGATTAAACAATATCTCCTAATACAACTTCATGATCTCACAGGGCAGCTATCACTTTTATTTGATGAGAACTTATTCTTCTTTTGCTAAAAGTGAGCTTTATTTATTTATTTATTTATTTATTTACTGCATTTGTTAACCGCCGTTCTCAGCCCTAGGGCGACTCACGGCGGTGTACAACATATAAAAAGACAATTTACAATAAAAGCAATATCATGAACAACAATAACAACATCACTATTAATAATACAATTACACTAAATCATTCGCGACGTCTCATCATAGAATCACAATCCAATCTCGTTATCCATATTCCGTTCCAATCATCATTGCCAATTGTTGTAGCACTTAGTCAAACGCCTTCTCAAACAACCACGTCTTTAGTCTCTTGCGGAATGTCATAAGGGAGGGCGCCTGTCTGATGTCTACAGGGAGGGTGTTCCACAGCCGGGGGGCCACCACCGAGAAGGCCCTATCTCTCGTCCCCGCCAGACGTGCCTGTGAGGCAGGCGGGATCGAGAGAAGGGCCTCCCCAGACGATCTCAAGGTCCTCGTGGGCTCATAGGCCGAGATGCGGTCAGAAAGGTATTTTGGGCCGGAACCGTTTAGGGCTTTGTAGGCCAGACACCAGCACCTTGAATTGGGCCCGGTAGCAGATCGGCAGCCAGTGGAGCTGGGACAACAAGGGCGTTGTGTGCTCCTCGTTAGTAACATGGCTGCCGCGCGCTGGACTAGCTGCAGCTTCCGGGCCGTCTTCAAGGGCAGCCCCACGTAGAGAGCGTTGCAGTAGTCAAGGCGGGATGTGACCAGAGCGTGTACTACCGTGGCCAAGTCAGACTTCCCAAGGTACGGGCGCAGCTGGCGCACGAGCCTGAACTGTGCGAATGCTCCCCTGGTCACCGCTGAAACCTGGGGGTCCAGGCTCAACGATGAATCCAGGATCACACCCAAGCTGCGAACCTGCGCCTTCAAGGGGAGTGCGACCCCATCCAGCACAGGCTGTAACCCTATACCCTGTTCGGCCTTGCGACTGACCAGGAGTACCTCTGTCTTGTCTGGATTTAATTTCAGTTTGTTCGCCCTCATCCAGACCGTTACAGCGGCCAGGCACCGGTTCAGGACCTCGACAGCCTCCTTAGTAGCAGGTGGGAAGGAGTGACAGAGTTGGACATCATCTGCGTACAGATGACACCGCACCCCGAAACTCCGGATGATCTCACCCAGCGGCTTCATGTAGATATTAAACAGCATGAGAGACAGTATAGAGCCCTGTGGAACCCCACAAGTCAAAGGCTGTGGCGTTGAACAGGTGTTCCCAATAACACCTTCTGGGTGCAACCCCCCAGAAAGGACCGGAGCCACTGTAAAACAGTGCCCCCCAGGCCCATTCCGGCAAGGCGTCCCAGAAGGATACCGTGGTTGACGGTATCGAAGGCCGCTGAGAGGTCCAGCAGAACCAACAGGGACACACTCCCCCTGTCTAGCTCCCGGCGCAGATCATCCACTAAGGCGACCAAGACCGTCTCGGTACCATGTCCCGGTCTGAAACCAGACTGTGCCGAATCCAGATAATCCGTGTCTCTCAAGAATACCTGGAGTTGTGAGGCCACCACGCTTTCCATGACTTTGCCCAAAAAGGGGAGATTGGAAACAGGCCGAAAGTTGTCAAATTTAGTGGGGTCCAGTGATGGTTTCTTCAACAGCGGTTTTATAATAGCTTGTTTTAAGCTCGCTGGAATTTCGCCTTCCCGAAGGGAGGCGTTAACCACCACCGTTACCCACTCAGCCAATCCCCCTCTGGCCTCCTTCAGAAGCCAGGATGGGCAGGGGTCTAGGATGGACGTAGTGGGCCTCATTCCTCCAAGTATCTTGTCCACATTCTCGGGCTTCACAAATTGAAAAGAATCCATCAAAATAGGACAAGCAGGTGCTCGTGTCACATCCTCAGAGACTGCATTTAACATGGTGTCCAGGCCAGAACGGATCAAAGCGACTTTGTCTGCAAAGAACCGAGCAAATGCTTTGCAGCGCGTGGCCGAATTGTCAGGGCTCCCGTCTGAGATGGCGGGAGTTAAAAGACCTCTGACAATCCGGAACAACTCCGCCGGACGGTTCCTTGCAGACGCAATAGTGGCCGCAAAGAAAGTTTTCTTTGCGGCTTTTATTGCCGCGGCATATGCCCTTAGAAAGGACACAAACTGTGTTCGATTTGACTCGCTCGGATCCGAACGCCACACGCTCTCTAGTTCCCTCTTCCTTCGCTTCATCACTGCCAGCTCCTCAGTAAACCAAGGAGCTGGTTTAGCTCGGCTACTTGAGAGGGGACGTTCCGGAGCGATCATGTCAATTGCCCTGGCCATCTCCCCATTCCAGAGAGCGACCAAGGCCTCGACATGGTCACCTACCGAGGGGGCGGGAAAATCCCCAAGAGCCGTCAGGAATCCATTCGGATCCATAAGCCTCCTGGGGCGGACCAACTTAATGGGTCCCCCACCTCTGCAGAGGTTAGGGGGTGCAGTTAGTCTAAAGCTGACCAGATGGTGGTCGGTCCATGGCAACGGAGAGATGGATAACTCCTCAACACCGCCACCTTCCTCCCATCCCTGGCAGAAAACCAAGTCCAATGTGTGTCCAGCACAGTGGGTGGGGCCAGATATTTGTGGGGACAGCCCCATGGTTGCCATGGCAGACATGAAGTCCTGAGCCGCTCCTGTGAGGGTCGCCTCGGCATGGATATTGAAGTCTCCCAGCACCAAGAAGCCGTTGAGACTCCAACGCCAGGCTCGAGACTACCCCCGCTAGCTCAGGTAGGGAGACTGTAGTGCAGCGAGGTGGACGGTACACTAACAGAATCCCTATTCTGTCCCGGTCACCCACCCTCAGGTGGACGCATTCAAAATTTGTTGACTGCGGGATGGGACTCCTGGTCAGATGGATGGAATCTCTATAGACCACTGCGACCCCGCCTCCCCGCCCTCCGGATCTTGGTTGGTGCTGCACGGAGAAGCCTGGAGGACAAAGCTGGGTTAGATTCACACCTCCAGCTTCATCCAACCAGGTCTCCGTGATGCACGCCAGATCTGCCCGCTCATCCAGGATTAGATCCTGGATAAAGGTCGTTTTTCCGTTGACAGATCTGGCGTTCAACAGCACCACCTTCAATCCAGAGGGCCCGCTCACCTGGTTACACCAATTTACCTTAGGAGACCGGTTTGGAATTATTAATGTAGATAAGCGGTCCGAATTAGGCCGAATTTGAGGTCTCCTTTTTCCGCATCTCCCCCTCCCCACCACGACCTCTATGGGGGGCCCTCGGCTAGTGGAACACCTCCCCTCCTCCATGCCGCAGTCTAAATCCAAGGTCTTAATTTATAACTGTATTAAAATAAAATTCTGGTGTCCGTTTTATTTTTTTAAATGAGATAGCAGATTTTACTTTGTTCTCTTTTTCTAGGTTGTAGAGAACTTGAATATGAAACTATATGTGAAGGTGCATCGTAGGTTCTGGGATTGGCACATTTCATATTTTAATATCTACCCTCTTCCCATTTTTGCCAACAAACTAACCTCTAACTGACGGGCTTTGAAGTTGTCTGTTATTACTATTGTCCTAGGGCTTCAGTACATGCAAGAAGGACAACACAAAATGGCATTTTCCTGCTTTAAGCTGGCTGCGGATAAGAACTACAGCAAAGCCCAGTTCAACGTGGCAGTCTGCTATGAACATGGAAGAGGCACCAAGAAAGACATTACCAAGGTCCTCCTGTGTTTACTGGACTGTGTCTTGCTTCTGTTTGCTGAATACTTGCCTAAGAGTGTATTATTAATCATCTGAAGTGTTTAGTGGTAGCCAGGATAAATGGGAATATTGATGGAAGGAGGAAGGGTTAATAGCAGAGGAGAAAAAGAAAAAGTGAACACATGTCGACATCCCCATTGGGATATCTATTTGTCATTAACAGACACAGTCCTGGACTTAAGCCTTTGGTCTGATCCAGCAGAACCCTATATATTCATTTTGTTTTGTTGTGTCAGGAGCGACTTGAGAAACTGCAAGTAGCTTCTGGTGTGAGAGAATTGGCCGTCTGCAAGGACGTTGCCCAGGGGACGCCCGGATGATTTGATGTTTTTATCATCCTTGTGGGAAGCTTCTCTCATGTCCCTGCATGAGGAACTAGAGCTGATAGAGGGAGCTCATCCGCCTCTCCCCGGATTCGAACCTGCGACCTGTCGGTCTTCAGTCCTGCCGGCACAGAGGTTTAACCCACTGCGCTACCGGGGGCTCCTTATATATTCATAAGCCACATAAAGAAAAGAGTTTTAATGAAAGAACATTGTCAGGATTCAGATATAAAACAGAATTTGGAGTTTCCTGGCAGACTCTCACTTATCCACTCACACTCTCCATAGTTCTTTCTCAGTGACTCGTACTGGGATAACACTCTTGGCAGTTTTAAATCCTGCCAAATTTAATCTGTGTATTTATTATGATACTATTAGTTAGTTGCAATGTGTTTTTTTTAATTTTGTCGTTGTCCTGTATTATGTTTTTATTCTTGCTTGGTTTTATAGCTATTGGTTGTAAGCCGCCCAAATCCTTTTGGAGAGGGGGCAGGATACAAATAAAGATTAGTATTATTATGTCTTTTGTGTTGTGTGGGACTGACCCAGACCAAACTTGGCTCACATCCCACAATGATCAACTTTAAATACTGGCAAGGTTTCAGGAGATTTAAGGGAGAAGGATGAGAGCTGTAGTTCACCCACATCCAGTGACCCACATCCAATGACCCATCTGTGTCTTACATCCAGGAAAGCCGTATGTATTTTGAATGGGTCCATTTATAAAACCCTAAACCAAACAATGACTACTACTAATGTTTATCCTTACAAAATACCATATTTAGTTTTGATAGCATATTCAAATTGTGCCCATAAACCCACCTGCATGAAAAAAAACCATTTGTTCCTGCTACTTAGCCGTGAATCCTGCTTCTTGGGTGGCCTTGAGGTCTCTCATCCACCCCTCCTAGGTTCTGTTCCATGCGGTTCCCAACTAGCCTCATTCACAAAACCTTCAAAACCTCTCCCTCAGTTTTGAAGGCCTCCTGAATGAGACCAGTTGGGAATTGTATGAGGCTGGATGCATTATATTTGAGGACAAATCCATTTTTTATAATATATACTTTCAAAATTGAGGTGTGTATTCCATTCGCGTTATACGGGTGTGTTTTTTTCTTTATATTATTATAAAGCATCCCTCTGATATGATTTGTTTCTAGGCAGTCCTCTACTATCAACGAGCCGCTCTCCAAGGGCATGCCTTGGCCCAGTATCACTATGCCAGGTGGCTTTTCTGCAATTGCCCCTCTAGAGACAGCAAGGGAAATATAAAGAAACCAGTTGATTTGCTGGACCAGATAACCACACCAAGGCTAACCCAGGTGACTGTACATTAATAGAATCCTGCTGTTGTCTTCAGGAGAAAAGTGGACCTTCCAAAAGAGTTGTTGGAAATTACAAGTAACTTGCAAATTCCCCACTTTACTCCCAGCAGTTTAGTTTTGTATATACCATGATTGGATGTTGAGCTGCCAACCAGATTTCTTTTAGCCAGTGTAATGCAGTGTAGATTGTGCAGCTTCTTACACTTTATTATTTTTACTGGGCACTATTGCCTAGAACATGCATCACAAAGCAGAAATTATCTAACCTGGATGAGATGGGCCTAAATCTATTGTCTATTTTTGTTGGGGGTTCTTTGACTTTTATGAAGTGGTCTTCTTTGAGATAGTTATTAATCAAAATGCTATTTAATTAGATCATATTTTGGAAAAAAATAATCTTTCACTGATGTGTAAATAAATTAAATATATGTGCAATAAAGAGGGCATAATTTTGGGTGTATCTACCTTTCAGAAGTAATGTAATTTGACACCACTTTAACTACCTTGGCTCAATACTATTGAAAGTATAGTTGGGTGACGTAGCAGCACATTTGGCAGAGAAGGCATTGAGTTGTTGCAGTAAAGGGGCGTCAACCTACATTAATTCTGTAGTTTATACTCTCAGTCCTCTGGTTCTTTGTAAGGTCAGCGAACTTTAAGTTCTTCCGGGGAGGCCCTCCTTTCGCTCCCACTACCGTCACAAGCACGGCTGGTGGGGACGAAAGAGAGGGCCTTCTTGGTGGTGGCCCCCCGCCTCTGGAACGCCCTCCCTGGAGAAATAAGACAGGCCCCATCCTTCCCCTCTTTTCGTAAGAGCCTGAAGACCTGGTGGTTTAAACAAACCTTTGAGAACTAGTTCTAGCTCTGCCCCAGATACTGTAGAAATTGGCCATATCTTTTACTACCAATTACATAGGTCACTTTCTTCTATTAGGCCCTGGAAATGTACAGCCAGAGACTCTACCTAATTTCCTGGGCCCTCTAAAATCACACTAGCCCGGCACAACCTTTTAAACTGCTTTGTACAGGCAGGATTATTTTAAATATATGTGCTATTGTGGTTTTTAATGCTTATTTTGTCTTGTTAAGTTTATGTTCATGCTGTTTTCCTTGTATGTATTGATTGATTATGTTATTTGGAAACCGCTCTGAGTCCCCTTGGGGAGATAGAGCGGTATATAAAGTAAGTTTTGTTGTTGTTGTTAAGATTTACACTTAAGACCTAAAAGTGGTTTTTAGCTGGAACATGGCACAGAGTGGATGCCTTGGAATATGAAAACAGATCACCATCTTTTCAGTTGTCTTTGATGCAGGCACAAAGTATTCTACCTTAAAGCTTTGAAATATGACCATCAGAGTGCAGTCTTTATACAACAACAGAGAATTAAGTGTGTGCTTCCCAATTTAGGCAAGTTAATATGGGAGCCCAATAGAAACATTCATTAGTAGAATATCTGAAATTTGAAATTATTTCAAAGAGATGGTCAAAATGTCTATCATAATCCATAGATGCACAGTATACTTATAATTTTGTTCATTTCAGTTAAACCATTTAGGCCAGTTACTCATATTATCCTGGTAGTATAGAAATCAGCACAGCTTCCCAAATGAACAGGTGACTAAATGGGAGAAGCCCATATTCTTTTGGTTGCAGAACAGTAGATTAATTCTGGCCCAAGAAGTAGCAGGCTGCTGCTACTCTTATATCAAAGTAATGTGTGGATTGGGCTTTGGTTCCCATGAAGCCAGTGTGTACTTATGAATACTGCTAGAGAATAGTTTGAGAATGAACATTAATATTGGAAGCTTACAGATGCATCGATGTTGCATTTTTTTTCTCTCTATACCAAGGATCTTAATGACATGTGTTTGCATGCAGAATTCTTTGAGAAGACGTCATTTGGGTGCTCACAATGAGAATGGCCTTGGAATCCACAGAAGACGTTACCAGCAAGCAGATAGTACAAGCTGCAATACTGCACAGAAGAGAATGAAAGTAACGGCAGAGGAGGAGATAGCAGGTACTGGGTTGAGGGACCTGCTTTAGAAGCAAATTAGTGAAGGTGTGTAGAAGAAGGGGGAATGTGCAAAAAGAAACTGGCAACATGGTGGGTGATTTGGGGCAGGATCAAAAAGGAGTAGATAGGTTTAATTGTTCTGTAAACCTCATGGTGTTTTCTCTTGAGAATGTAGATTATTATCATTGTAACAAGTGTGTGGTGTTCTCTTTGATTCCTAGGTATGGAGAGATGGCGTCCATTGGTACAAGCAGTGGGAACTTTTTCATCCAGTCCCTGTCTTCAGGGCCTGGGCCAGCCAGTCTTCGATATACTTCGCTCCTGGAGCACAGGAAGCCTCAGAGAAGGAGCAAGTGGCTCCATAAACTGTATGCATAATCCAGGTTTCTCAGATGGCCTTACCCTCAAACTGCCATCCTTAGCTTGGTCCCCAGGATCAGTAATAAGCTAGCATGGTCGATGAAGAAGCACAATCTTCCGATATCTAGAAGAGGATGTCTGCATCTGGCTGGCACCATGATACTTTTAGGAACAAATATGCGGGTGTTAAACACATATATTTGCATTTCATCCTAAATATATTATTTGTTTCTTGATAATTATTTTAAAAATTGCAATGAAGATGCTGAATAATAAATAATGCTGCCAAAGAAAGCAGCCCTGGATTCTGTCCTATTTTATCTCATCTGTATTTCATTGCATAATAGTCACCAACGCATAATAGTTGCACCCCCATTTTTTATGGGTGGCAAAATTGGTATTTCTGCATTTTTTGCCAAATAGCTGCAGAGCCACTTGGGAATGATTCTCCCTCCCTTTCTCCCTTTTCCAAAGGCAAGGCAGTTTAGAAACCATGCAATGGAAGTCTCTGGAGTGCCACTCTTTCCTCCTTTCTCCAAAGAGCTCGATTCCAGATTTTGTAAAATGCCTTGCCTTAGGAGAAGAAGGAAGGGAGGGGGAATCTTCCCTCCTTCTTTCTCCGAGGCAAGGCAGGTTTAAGTAAACAAGCAAACAGAAATTGAGTTGTTTGTTTGAGGCCAGATCATCCTTCGTTCCCTTCAGGAGTTAGAAAAGTGGTATACTTATTTACTTAGGCGAACCCTCGTAGTTTGAGTAGGATTGTCATCCAAGATCGGTGCACTGGCGGTGGGTCCATAGGTGGCTGTGGAGCCCTATTCTTGTTCTGCATCTTCTCCCACAGTGAGGGCATTGGTTTCCAGATGGAAGGCGGTCCTGGTCAGGGTTGTCTTGATGTGCCTTCCTCTTGGCACATTTCTCTCTTTTGCCCTCCATTCGTGCCTCTTCAAATTCTACAGTACTGCTGGTCATAGCTGACCTCCAGCTGGAGCGCCCAAGGGCCAGGGTTTCCCAGGTCTCAGTGTCTGCCAGAGTTTTTAAGGTTGGCTTTGAGCCCATCTTTAAATCTCTTTTCCTGCCCACCAACATTCCGTTTTCCATTATTGAGTTTGGAAAAGAAAAGTGGTATATAAATACAGTAAATAAATAAATAAATAAGGAAGTTTATTTGTTTGTTTGTTTTAAAAAAACAAACCAAAGAACAAAAGACAGATTTTTTTATCACATAATAGTTGTGCACCACCACTTTGGACAAAAAAGGGATTAAAAGTGTGACCAGTATGTGATGAAATATGGTATTTTCCTTCTACACCTAGGAAAGTAAAAATGGTGACTTGCCCAAGGAAAGGGTGTCTCACAAACTTCTGAGCTGGACTTTACTGCTGCAGCAAAAAAAAAGGCAGTACGTTTGAAATGATAAATCTAGTAATATTTAATCAGAGGGAAGCGGGCAATCAAGTCTCTTCAGCAGTAATCGGACAATGACAGCAAATCTTCATTAAGATGAAGTTTATAAAATGCAATAAACAATTTGGTTTCTAAGCTAAACTCAATGCCTGATACAAAGTCCAATATGAAGATTTTCAAAACACGGTACTGAAATATTGTTGGATATGGATAGGACCAATGTAAGATAGGCAGTTGGTTTAATAATAATTTTTAAAAGCTAATGTTAAGCTACTGTGCACTGGTCCTGCAGTCCATAGTGCATTACAAAAGCCATTGAACTTTTGTTACTAGAAAAGGGATTCTATGGCAAAAAAAAAAAAAACCTAGTTCTTGTCTACATTTGTGAAAAGAGAAATTTTAAAATGATGCCAAGAGTTATCCAAGCCGTAAGCCCAAAGTTGATTGTACAGTAAATAGGTTTGTGACATCTAAAGTAGTATTAAAATCTTTTCTGTCACCAGCAGTGTCAATCTGCTGGAATCAAAACAAATACTGAGTTTAGGAGCAAAACCGATTCCTGAGAATGCTTGCCATAGATGCAGGCGAAACGTCAGGAGAAAAATTGCCTCCAGAACATGGCCATATAGCCCGGAAAAACCTACAACAACCCAATGTCATATTAGGTTTTTTTTAATAAACCAAGCCCAGAGAATGGAAACATAAAGTATGTTGGAGTTTCTACTGGAGGTTGAAAGTGTGATAAAGACAAGACAATCAAACTTCAGTATTGCCTTAGAGTCCTGCTCCCATTGGAACATCTTAATCAGAAAGGTTTTGAGGTCAAAATGTCTCTGTACTCCAAACTTCCTTTCATTGTCCCATCCATTAACAACAGCTAGAACTGGGTTGCTGTAAGTTTTCTGGGCATATTAATATGTTCCAGAAGCATTCTCTCCTGGCATTTCACCCACATCTATGGCAGGAATCCTCAAAGATTCTGAGGATGCCTGCCATAGATGTGGGTGAAACGTCAGGAGAGAATGCTTCTGGAATATGGCCATACAGCCTGGAAAACTCACAGCAATCCAGTGATTCTAGCCATGAATGCCTTCGACAACACAATAGCTAGAACCTCCCACACAAATTTTCCTATAGCCTAGTTTTGTGAGGAAATGAAATTAGAATCTCTGCAGTTTTCACTCCATGTTAAGAAGGTATTTCTTAAGTTTGGCAGACTGGCTGACAGTACCTGGAAAGCAAAAGATTTGGCATATATATGACTATGTCTTAAGGTTGTTCCATGTGCTTCTTTTCATGCAGGCGCATGCACTTTTGTTCACACATCTTTGCTGGTGCAGCTAGGGGACATGAAGATACCTTTGTACTGAGAACTTTTTTTCAACATGTTCTGTGGCCCAAAGGTCTGTTACTCTTGGCTCCCAAAGCATCTCCATCCAGGTCTAGGGTTTTGTTACATATTGACATTTGCTGCAAGAAGCCCAATGACGAATCAGTTTCAGGTCTGGGATTCTGAGCCAAAATCATCTCAAACAGAGTGCCCATTTCGGAGAGGAAGGTGCTTGCCAGCCTCGGCTCGGCTGTGTTCAGTTTGCATCCTTTTGCTTTGCCAAAGGTCTCAAAAGTGTGGGGTTCGTCTCTGTTTGTAGTTTCCTGACTTATTGGAAACAGTAGAGCACTGGGAGAGACAACATTGTCCTTGTAGTCAACTGAGAGAGGAATGGATAGCCTGCTCATCCATGCTGGGTCTGCTTCAGTCTGCCGGTCCAGGCCAAGCCCTACAAGGTGGGGCAAGAACAGATTAATAAAGTTGCCATTGAAGAAACAAACTCAAGACCACATGAGTTCTGCAATCCTGTTGATCAGAGAATTCAAATTTTCTGATTATCTCAATCTTCCTTTGAAATAATAATAAAGACAAGCTTCTGACCCTTGGAACAGGAACGGGCAACTGCTGGGAGTTAGGGTGATGTATTGTCCTCCCATAGAACCATGGAAGGCTGGTCCTTAGATCGCATCCCCAATTGTTTTCATCTTTTAAAAATCTGTTTATGCTACACTTTTCAGGCTGCACTGTACTTTTCCCACCCCTTCCCTGGCTCTCCAAATCCCTGGGAACATCTCAAAAGCTAGAGCTGGGAAGGCGAACCTAATAGGCATTCCTAGGTCCTCCAGCAGAAGTTGACAGTAGGGTCAGGTCCTGAGTCTGTAGTTTTTATGGGTTATCTCTGAGGGGGGGGGGGTAGAGTACAAGTACCATATATTCTGGTGTATAAGACTACTTTTTAACCCAAGAAAATTTTCTCAAAAGACGGGTCGTCTTATACGAGGGTGTAGTCTTATACGCGGGTGTGGTCTTATACACATGGGTCGTCTTATACATGGGAGTCATCTTATAGAGCAGGTGCTGAAACTTCCAATCGGATTGGAGAGTCTGTGGTTGCCACATATGGTGGGAGAAGCTCAAAAATGGCAATGGCCGTGTCCCTGCCATATGCAGTGACTGTATGAAAGCATTAAGGGCAACGCTGTACAAGTATGGTAGAAGAAAATCCATTCATCAGGATTCGTGGACTTAATCGGTCCCGATGGTGAGGTGAAGGGGTGCCTCACTGGGAAGGTGTAAGTGAAGGGTAGAGCAAGCTGCAGGTGTCCGGGGCACCCGGGGTATAGAAAAAAGAGATAGAGTGGCTCTGGGCCCAAACAAACACACCTCTTTTACTTGTCTGACCCACCCTTGTATCCTATTACTGTACCTCCTACTCTGCCGCTCAGATCTCGCTCCTGAAGAGTGCAGTGAAGTGGTGCAGGTGCGCAGGTGCGAGATCTGAGAGGCAGAGAAGGAGGTACAGTAATAGGAAAATTACCATATTGAAATCAAATCTGATGCTTTTTAAAAATTTATTTGGTGTGCGTTGGAAGAGGGGTAGTCTTATACGGCGAGTATATCCCAAACTCTATATTTCAACTGGAAAAGTTGGGGGTCGTCTTACACCCAGTTGTCTTATATGCCGGAATATACGGTACTCAAGTTTCTGTGAGTTCCGTTTCAGGCATGAGGGAAAGGTTATGTGGAAATCTCCAACTTAGCTATCAGAGCAGTTGCTAGTTACAGTTTGAAAGGTTTAACTGATTTCTTGCTGCATCTTTGAAAGACTCGTATTTATGAAGTTGCTGAATTAGCTTTCTCCTTTCCTCCCAGTTATACTGATCCCAGAGCTCACCTACAGCTTTGTCTCCATCTGCTGGCTAGAAGCATATCAGCCAAATTAAATATTACTTTTTCCATCTATGTAAATGAGAGGAAGTGCCATATATAATGTTCACCTTCGTTGGCTAAATTACCTCACCAAAAATAGGGTGTGCATTAGATTTGCATAATACGGTAATCTTACTGCTGAGCCAAAGCAAAAGGGAAAGCTGCTTCAGGAGAACTTAGGGCAGTGTTTCTCAACCTTCCCAATGTCGCGACCCCTTAATACAGTTCCCCATGTTGTTGTGACCCCCAATGAGAAAATATTTTGTTGCTACATCATAACTGTAATTTTGCTACTGTTATGAATTATAATGTAAATATCTGATATGCAGGATGTATTTTCATTTACTGGACCAAATTTGGCACAAATACCTGATACACCCAAATTTGAATACTGGTGGGGTTGGGGGAGATTGATTTTGTCATTTGGGAGTTGTAGTTGCTGGGATTTATAGTTCACCTACAATCAAAGAGCATTCTGAACTCCACCAACAATGGAATTGAACCAAACTTGGCACAAAGAACTCTCATGACCAATATAAAATGCTGGAAGGGTTTGGTGGGCACTGACCTTGCATTTTGGAGTTCTAGTTCACCTACATCCAGAGAGCATTGTGGAATCAAACAATGATGGATCTGGACTAAACTTGGCACGAATACTCAATATGCCCAAATGTGAACACTGGTGGATTTTGGGGAAAACAGACCTTGACCTTTGAGAGTTATAGTGGCTGGGATTTACAGTTCACCTACAATCACCAGCAATAGAATTGGCCCAAACTTCCCATATACGTAGAACCACCATGACCAACAGAAAAGACTGTGTTTTCTGATGGTCTTTGGCGACCTCTCTGACACCCCCCTCATGCCGCCCCCAGAGGTCCCGACCCCCAGGTTGAGAACCACTGACTTAGGGCACCTATTTGAGGGGTGTCACCTCTAATTTAACTGCCCTGACTCAATGCTATGCAATTGTGGGATTTGTAGTTTGGCGAGACATCAACAATCTTTGGTAGAGAAAGCTCAAAACCTTGTAAAACTATGTAATTTCATAACATTGAGCTAGGACATTTAAAGCAGGTTCATTCTACAGCATAGTTAGATGCACCCTAAAGTTTTATTTCCCGTTGCTGGAAGCTTTGGTGTACTAGCGCCTTTGTTTTGGAAGAAGGAATTCTAAGCAGGCAGCAACTGCAATGTGCACTTTTTTTGGCCAAATTACAAAGAGTGCATTTGCTGCCGCTGTACATTACATTCGCCAGCAAATCCTTTTTTTTTTGGTTTCAGGGTTTTGAAATTTGAGGTGCGCATTAGACTTGAGTAAATACGGTCATTCTTCATTTCCCCTTTGTTAGCTAAGATTTTTGTCTTCATCTCCAAACAAGCAAGTTTGTTCATGTGTGTACCTTCCTTTGTGTGTACATGTGTGTATGTATGCATATGAATACAGTGGCTCCCTGGTCACTACTGGAATTTGGTTTCAGGACCCCCTATGGATAAAAAATTCAAGGGAAGCTCAGTCCTATTGTATACTATGGGCCTGTACTGGGAGCTGCCACTTTGGATCCCATACTGGGAGAAAGGTGGAATATATATAAATATTAGCAGGGAGACAGGCTAATAGATTTTTTTAAATTGTGGCTGGGGGTTATTTATTAATTTACTAGCCATCCCCTGCCATGCGTTGCTGTGGCACAGTCTGTGTATATGTGTTTTGTGTGTGTATATATGTGTATATGTACGAACCCACATGATCTCTTCAATCATCTGGAGAGGCCCTGCTCGCGCTCCCACCTCCTTCGCAGGCGCCATTGGTGGGGACGAGGAAGAGGACCCTCTCGGTGGTGGCTCCCCGACTCTGGAACTCACTTCCCAAGGACATCAGACATGCCCCAACTCTGGCAGTCTTTAGGAGGAGCCTAAAAACGTGGTTGTTCCAGTGTACCTTCCCAGAATAAGGAAAACTCTCACCAAAATGCCCTCAAAATGCACTTTACCACTGATTTAGGGCTGACTGCGTTCCCTCATCTCTCTTTGAAAACCCTACACCAGATATATCCTACCTTGTTCATGCCCAGCATTTTTTAAAAATTTTTAAACTATTACATTTGGCCTGGCCATAGGTTTTTAAATGCTTGTGTGTTACTGTTTACTGTTTATTGCTTATTTTGTTTATGTGATTTATATTAATTGTATTGATTGTTTTTGTTATTGCTTTTGTTTATTGATGTATTGTGGGCTTGGCCTCATGTAAGCCACACCGAGTCCCTTGGGGAGATGGTAGTGGGGTACAAATAAAGTTGTTATTATTATTATTATTATTATTATTATTATTATTTGTGTGTTTGCGTGTTTATATGTGGTTTTATGTATATGTTGTAATGTATTTTTATTTTTTTGGCTTTTTAAGTCTCTTCCACTGTGTTTTTGGTGTTTTTATGAGTGATGGTCACTTGTTGGCCTGATACTGTTGTTGATGTACTGTGTCCGAATTTGGTGTCAATTCGCCCAGTGGTTTTTGAGTTATGTTAATCCCACAAACGACCATTACATTTTTATTTATATAGATTTAGACAGATCATTTACTCATTTCCTACTTTTCCCCAGCCCAAAGACTCAAGGAAAATTTAAAAAGTGAAAACAGATTTTAAAAAAAACCAAAAACATTGTATCGCTGAAAACATACAAAAGTTGAAATAGAATGGAACTATTAATAGGTTAAAGTAAAAAAAAAAAATGCAGACAACATAGTACATAAGCAATTAGTTCCCTAAGGCCCGTCAAAAGAAAAGCCTTTGACACTTGTTGCAAGGACATTGTAGAAGTCTCCAGAGCCTCTTGGACGCTTGTTCCAGAGCCACCATTGGAAAGACCTTCTTGTCCCTCCCCCAAATGTAACTATGAGAATGATGTGACAGAAAGAAGGGGCTCCCCTGAAGATCTCAAAAATCAAGTCGATATATATGGGAGATTATCACACTTCAGATATTTTAGAGGCCCAAGCCATATGGGATTGTAGAGGTCCCGCTTTGAATTTTACCCCCAAAGAGATGTAACAAGGGAATTATATGCTCTTTATACCTAACCCTGGTCAGCAGTCTGGGTCCAGCATCCAAGTCAGAATGGGTCCAAGCAATTTTATATGCAAAGTACTGGGCATATAAAAAGGCGCCAGTGAGCAACATAGTTCCTTGTTCTGCCTATTCCTAGCAGAAACAGGCTAAATTATTCACTCAGGAGAGCTACTGCGTTCACTAGCCACCACAAAAGTATCCTAGCAACATGCTGTTCTCTTTCTGTGCCTATCCATAGGTAATATAGTATTATCACTATGTTAGGAGTAAGGGCAGAAATATGATGTGAAATATGAAGGCTGACTGGCTGTTCTTTTCTCACCTTTTCACTCATGGATCCATGACAGGCAGAATATTGCTCCAGGCACTTACCACCACTAATGTAGAAAAGCTATGACTGAGCATATCTCACCTGATGGACAATCTAAAAGATTCCCAAGTTCTTCTCCTAGTAGGTCCAGGTCATGATGTCTATTCTCGTTGCTCTCCTTAGTTATGAGATGCTCTGCATCTGGGTGAGGGTTCCTGGGAAAAAGAAGCAGCTTGGTACCACCCAACAAAGCAGAAACCAGACATCCTATCACAGTTATCATCGTCTATATCAGTGGTTCTCAACCTGGGGGTCGGGACCCCTGGGGGGTCACGAGGGGGTTTCACAGGGGTCGCCAAAGACCATCCAAAAACATAGTATTTTCCGTTGGTCATAGGGGTTCCATATGGGAAGTTTGGCCCAATTGTATCATTGGTGGGGATCAGAATGATCTTTTATTGTAGGTGAACTATAAATCCCAGCAACTAAAACTCTCAAATGCCAAGGTCTATTTTCCCCAAACTCCTCCAGTGTTCATTCACATTCAGTATTCATTCACATTGGGCATGTTGAGTATTCATGGCAAGTTTGGTCCAGATCCATCATTGTATGAGTCCATAGTGTTCTCTGGATGTAGGTGAACTACAACTCCAAACCTCAAGGACAATGCCCACCAAACTCTTCCAGTATTTTCTGTTGGTCAAGGGAGTTCTGTGTGGCAAGATTGGTTCAATTCCATTGTTGGAGTTCATAATGGGAGTTGTAGTTCACCTACATCCAGAGAGCACTGTGAACTCAGACAATGATGGATCTGGGCAAACCTGGCATGAATATTTCATATGCCCAAATATGAACACAGATGGAGTTTGGGGGAAATAGACCTTGACATTTGGGAGTTGTAGTTACTGGGATTTATAGTTCACTGACAATCAGAGCATTCTGAACCCCACCAATGACAGAATTGGGGCAAACTTCCCACACAGAACCCTCATGACCAACAGAAAATACTTAAGGCTATCCAGTCCAACTCCCTTCACTAGGGCAAGAAAACGTAATCAAAGCCCTCCTGACAAAGAGCCATCCAGCCATAGATATAGATAGATATAATTCACACACATATATATAGTATCATAGATTTGAAAGGGACCGCTAAAGGAGGACAATTATATGTTGCATGTTCCAGAGTAGGCAAACCAAACAATGTCCACATCAGCACTGGCAAAGAAACAGCAAGAAATACTTTATAATTTCTTTATACTTTACCCACAAGCATAAAGAAATTACATATATTAGAAACCAACACTTTCTCGTTACTTTATTTTCCAGATCGCCAGACTGGGCCACAGCAACGTGTGACAGGGGATGGCTAGTACTCTAAATAAATAAATAAATAAATACTGGAAGGAAGGCACATTAATTGCTGTTTCAAAGGGGGCATATCAGGACACTAAAACCTAATGGAAACCTTATGCTTGAATTGGCCTCAGACAATTTGAAAATCTGTCTGTAGCAACTGATCTGTGATGGTTCACTGCTGGGTGTGGATCAATGTATTTGATGCTAGAGTTAAAAGGAGATTAAGTATAATGAGTGTCTCAAAACTCGCAAGCCTCAACTATACCATAGTTTACTCCCATTCTCCACTGATTTGTAATTCCCCCCCCCCTTTTTTTTTATTTTTGGCAAAAGGAGTGGAAAGAGGACCGGGACATCCGTAGGGATACCAAGCTGCTTGTTTATAAAGCTACTGTCCTCCCAACTCTGCTATACGTCTGCAAGACGTGGCCTATCTATAGACGTCACATGCAAATCCTAGAACGATTCCATCAGAGTTGCCTCTGAAAAATCTTGCAAATCTCTTGGGAAGACAAGCGGACAAACATCAGGGTGCTGGAAGAAGCAAAGACCACCAGCATTGAAGCAATGGTCCTCCGCCAAAAACTCCGCTGGACCAGCCACGTTGTCCAGGTGCCCAACCACCGTCTCCCAAAGCAGGCACTCTACTATGAACTCAGGAATGGAAAATGGAATGTTGGAGGACAGGAAAAGAGATTCAAAGATGGGCTCAAAGCCAACCTTAAAAACTCTGGCATAGACACTGAGAACTGGGAAGCCCTGGCCCTTGAGCACTCCAGCTGGAGCTCAGCTGAGACCAGAAGTGCTGTAGAATTTGAAGAGTTATGAATGGAGAGCGAAAGAAACATGCCAAGAGGAAGGCGCGTCAAGCCAACCCTGACTTGACCACCTTATACTTGGGAACCAATGCCCTCATTGAAGGAGAACATGCAGATCAAGAATAGGGCTCCACAGTCACCTACAGACCCACCGCCAGTATACCGGTCTTGGAAGACAATCTTACTCAGACAAATAGGGATCGCCTAAGTAGAAGTAGGAAAGAGGCTGCATTGTTTTACCAGTAAACTGCAGGTGAGGCCACAACTAAACCTTTGTCTAGTTTCCCCTGTAGTAGCTTCTGTGTAGTTAGCGAGTTGTGGGAGAAGTAAAAAGCAACCCCTATAGCAGTGTTTCTCAACCTTCTTAATGCTGTGACCCCTTAGTAGAGTTCCTCATGTTGTGGTGACCCCCAAACATAACATTATTTTTGTTGCTACTTCATAACTGTAATTTTGCTACTGTTATGAATCATAATGTAAATATCTGATATGCAGGATGTATTTTCAAATCCCAAATACCCGATATGCCCAAATTTGAATACTGGTGGGATGGGGATGATTGATTTTGTCATTTGGAGTTGCTGGGATTTATAGTTCACCTAAAATCAAAGAGCCTTCTGAACTCCACCAATGATGGAATTGAATCAAACTTGGGCACACAGAATTCCCATGACCATATGGGAAGGTCTGGTGGACAGCCTGGGTTGGAGTGGGTTTCCAACCAATTGTGTAGCTTGTTGTCAACCTTTGCAACCCGAAACACAGTTGCATCTGTCAAGTAGGAAATTAAGGTACCACCTTAAAGTGTGGGGAGGCTAAATTAACTGATTTATGAGGCCATAAAGAAGACTCCAGCAAAGCATTCCAGCGGGGAAGCATGCGGGGAATGCGGAAGTGCTTCATCAGCGTCGCAGATGGACGATGAAAGCGACAGCTCCCCTGGTGGCCAGAAAAAGTTAAATAGCCTCTGTGTATGTCTGTATATGTTTGTATGTCAAAAATTGGCATTGAATGTTTGCCATATATGTGTACACTGTAATCCGCCCTGAGTCCCCTGCGGGGTGAGAAGGGTGGAATATAAAAAAGCTGTAAGCTGTAAGAGAAAAGACTGGGAAGGTCTGATGGACATTGACCTTGAGTTTTTGGAGTTGTAGTTCACCTACACCCAGAGAACACTGTGGACTCAAACAATGGTGGATCTGGACCAAACTTGGCACAAATACTCAATATGCCCAAATCTGAACACTGGTGGAGTTTGGGGAAAATAGACCTTGACATTTGGGAGTTGTAGTTGTTGGGATTTATAGTTCACCCACAATGAAATAGCATTCTGAACCCCACCAATGATAGAATTGGACCAAACTTCCCACACAGAACCCCCATGACCAACAGAAAATACTATGTTTTCTGATGGTCTTTGGTGACCCCTCTGACACCCCCTCACGACCCCCACAAGGTTCCCAACCCCCAGGTTGAGAAACACTGCCCTATAGGCACAGAAGTGAGCCCATTATCAATCTGATGGTTCCAGTGACAGTCAAGGCTTCAATACCACAGTCATCTCTGGATTGACACTCTTTAGAGCACACGGCATATATAAAACTCACCGACAACAGACGTGTTTGGCAGTGTATTTATTCCCTCGGTGGTTGGGTTTAGGCTGCACTTGGCCCTGATGCAGAAGAGACAGCAGCTGCGAGATTTGCTGAAAGGCAGGAAGAGCCAATTATTGCAAACAATTCTTGCCAAAGCTGTTTCCTGACAGGATATCCCCACCTCAATGCATCATTCAGGGACTATATATATATGAAAGAGATTTTCTTTCAGTTGGATATCAGAGAGTAGGAACTCTCTCTCTCTTGCTCCCTTCACCCCAAGCCAGTTGTATTGGTATGAGGTGCCTCATATATATACAGCAGCTTATTTCTGTGTAAACAAACACAGGATATAAATCTAGCAAGCCTGAGTAGCAGTGATGCCTTTAAGCTAAGTCTTCATCAACATCCGCTACTGGAAACTTGAAAGAGTACAGTAGCTACCCATGTTGAAGACTGGGGTGAGATTCAGACTCTCCCCTCCCACGTCTCACTGGTATCTGTCACTATATCAGTGAAAGGTAGAAGACAAACAAAATAGAAATTGAAATTGGCATTATATTCAGTCCTATGGAGTATGGTTTGTAAAATCCAAAAAGCATATCTGAAACCATATACTGCCATATAATCCAGTTCAAAGCAGATAATCTGGATTTTAGATGGCAGTCTAGAAGGGGCCTACATCTCACTGGACAACATGAGAATTACTTCTAATTATTTAATAGGAGTGCACATGTCTCTATTTATTTCTAGGACCCTAAGATCATCTTGGGAGGCCCTGCTCTTGGTCCCGCCTCCACCTCAGATGCGTTTGGTGGGAACGAGAGACAGGGCCTTCTCAGCGGTGGCCTCTCGGCTATGGAATGCCCTTCCTAGGGATATTAGATTGGCTCCCTCCCTCTTAACATTAAAACCTGGCTTTTTAAGCAGGCATTCGCAAATGCAATGTAATCAGGCAATGACAGACTATGGAACGACGGACAATGCGATAGAATAGTGATTTTAGTAAGGAGACGCTAAGGATTTATGTTTTTATTGACTTTTTATGAACTCATATTAATTGTATTTTATATGTTGGGGGGCATCAAATTGTGCCGAATGTAAACCGCCTTGAATCGCCTTTGGGCTGAGAAAGGCGGTATATAAATACGGTAAATAAATAAATAAATATTTTCTCACCCAGCCAGTCATATTCAGTATGGCTGTCTGGTGGTTCATAGACTAGTGCAGCGGTTCCCAATTTGTGGGCCTAAAATAAGTTATGCAGCTCTAGATTATTAAATATGGTTTTCTGTGAGCAAGCAGATGGTGACTACTGGATTGCATATGTTCTGTATCAGAAACTAGAGCTGATGTGGTCTATCCAATGCAATTTTCTGATTCAGCACCCCAAATAATCAAATTGAATCTAAAGTTGACCAAAAACCGATTCGTAACCCTTTTGGTACTAATGTTGGAGAGTGGTCCTTGGTCAAGGTGGTCTCTGGTCAAGTGGTCCCTGGTCAAAATGGTCCCTAATCGAAAAAAGGTTGGGAACCACTGGACTAGTGGCATCATCATGGGGAGCTTCCAGGAAAAAGTGAAACAAGTGGAGTGAACAGATATAAACATTGTACCAGTTCCTGGAAAAACAATGCACTTTACGTTGGGTTGGTCTCCCTACATTATCTTTTAAAACCCTCCTGCTTAGATACATCCTACCTCTGTTCACGCCCAGTGTTTATTTTTAAAAAATTAATTTATTACATCTGGCCCGGCCATAAGGTTTTAAATTCTCTGTGTTATTGTTTATATGTAAGTTATATTAATTGTACTGTTTATTTGCTTGCTGTTTTGTTTTTACTGGTGTGTTGTTGGGCTTGGCCTCATGTAAGCTGCCCCGAGTCCCCTTGGGGAGATGGTGGCGGGTATAAATAAAGTATTATTATTATTATTATTATTATTATTATTATTATTATTATAATGCTGCCTCTTCCTCCCCAATAGACAACTGTGCTTTACTTTGTTATTGGGTCTGCGTCAGCCTACCTCATGGCCTGCCACCCTCGCTTAGCCAATTATTCATTTTATCTTGCACTTTTAAAAAGCTGTAATTTTTGAAACAAAGATTTGACAAAATAATTGTATTTTAATATACTGTATTATATAACTATGCCTATTGTACCCAGGAGCCCATGCAGTCATGCTGGCCACCTTACCTTGGAGGTGTCTACAGACAACGCTGGCTCTTCGGCTTAGAAATGGAGATGAGCACCACCCCCAGAGTCAGACACGACTGGACTTAATGTCAGGGGAAAACCTTTACTATTGTACCCATACATTTCCCATCACATCCTTTTCTGAGGCACCTCTTACCTGTACAGGGGCTGATTCGATGCTTAACTGTCCTCCAGGGACTTGTTCGGCAAGTGCAGCCATGGAGAGCCTTACCAGGCTCTTCAAGATGTGTCGGCGACTGTGAGCTTCCTCTGGGCTTGCCTTGGGAATCAGCCTGCCTTGGCATTGTGGAGTAATTTCTGTTATAGGGCCCTTGGGCCAGGAAACAGAATAGCCCTTTTGGCCAGTGGGCTGCACATCCTGGCCACAAGGATTTCCAGTCTTCAGAGCAGGGAAAGGCTTGTTCTGCACATGCATAGCAGGGAGAGCAAATCGTTCGCTTCGATCAACAAAGCTGATTTGGTTTTGCTGGTTCCTCAGGGTCCTGTACAGAGTTGGAGTCATGTGGCATGTCTTTCCCAAACAATCGGTCCAAACAGTTTCTGGCAGAGCCTCTACTTCAGCCCCTAGTTGTTTTGCATCTTCCTGCCGCAATACGGGCACTATACAGATGTCTGCTTTCTCAATGGGTTTGGGAGGCTTCTTCAGCAGCTGTTGGCTGTACACTTGTTCTGCTTCCCGGCAGTTGTAGGCCATAGTACCAGGTTTCTCCCTTCTACACAAAGACATAATCAAGCCCATGCTGACCAGAGAAAATGCAAGCAACTACTACAGGCAGGCTGAGATACAGGAAAGGGATCCAGCATATGTTCACAATGTCTACTAAATATTATCTTCACCCGGAAGCTGGGGTAGAGCAGCACCTCTCCTTGGTCACTCACAGATAGTTTCAGGTCACATTCACGACAAGGCTTCTAGCAGTGCAGCTCTTCAGACACCAGTTTCATTGCCGTTTTGAATATTGTGCAGCAATGCCCAATTTGGACCAGAATCCCCACCTGCTGAAAGTAGAGTGAACAATAAATTGAATATTAGCTGGGAATATTGGTTGAGAATATTGAGAACATAACCCATTTAAGATCCACACACAGATTATACTCACCTACACTGCCATATAAAATTCGGATTAGGGTATCTGTTTTGAACTGGATTATATGGCAGCATAGATTTATATAATCCAGTAGAAAACAGATAACCTGAATTATCTGATTTGATAATCTGGTTTATATGGCAGTGTAGATCCAGCCTAAGACACTTTCTAGCTCTAGTTTTATTATCCCCAAGGATAGAATCGTAGAATCATGGAGTTGGAAGAGACCTCATGGGCCATCCAGTCCAACCCCCTGCCAAGGAGAAAAATTGCATTCAGAGCACCCCCGACAGATAGCCATCCAGCCTCTGTTTAAAAGCCTCCAAAGAAGGATCCTCCACCACACTACGGGGCAGAGAGTTCCACTGCCAAACAGCTCTTACAGTCAGGAAGTTCTTCCTAACGGTGAGATGGAAACTCCTTTCTTGTAGTTTGAAGCCATTGTTCTGTGTCCTAGTCTCCAGGGCAGCAGAAAACACGTTCTCTCCCTCCTCCCTGTTACTTCCTCTCATATATTTATACATGACTATTATGTCTCCTCTCAGTCTTCTCTTCTTCAGGCTAAACATGCCCAGCTCTTTAAGCTGCTCCTCATAGGGCTTGTTCTCCAGACCCTTGATCATTTTAGTCGCCCTCCTCTGGACACATTCCAGAGCTATCATTAACACCACATGCATTGACTTTAACACAAATTTTGGAGGATAACCCAGGCTATTGCATATTCTTAGATATTACAATTTGAAGTCCAAGCTGACAATCTTCTCAGCACTGGATGCTGTATGGACTCTGATGTTCCCACTGCATACTTCTGCATCCCGGGCCCTGACAACTTGCAAAGTAGAAGCAATCTCACTGTTCTTAGCAATGGAAATATTATAAAGATTTGCTTCAAAGCAAGGAATATTGTCATCAGCATCTCTGCTCTGAACAATGAAGCATCTAGTTGCAGCAGGTAAGGGGTCCTCTAATTTAATACTAGCAACTTCCGAAAGCTTCTTTCAACTTTCTGTCTAACTCAAGGGTCCTCCAAGGTCATTTACCTGGCCCTCGCTCAGGGTCAACCTACATCTGAAACTACTTGAAAGCACACAACAACAATCCTATCTCATCAGCCAAAAGCAGGCCCACACTTCCCTAATACTAATAAGTTTATATTTGTTAAAATTGTTCTTCATTTTAATTATTGTATTGTTTTTAGTGTTTTTTGCACTACAAATAAAATATGTGCATTCATGCTTTTTTCAAATTATAATCCAGCCCTCCAACAGTTTGAAGGACTGTGACCTGGCCCTCTGCTTAAAAAGTTTGAGGACCATTGGTTGCTTGCTTGCATGCTGGTTCAAGCAAAAAGTGGGTGCTAGAAACAATATCATATGAAAGCTGACTGGTATAACCTGGGGATCACAACCAGATACAGTGAAGACATCTGCCCTTGCGCTGTGCTACTCTGCTGCTATGCATGCCCAGTGTGGAACACATCTCACCATGCTAAAACAGTGGATGTGGCTCTGAATGAGACATGCCGCATTATCACAGGGTGTCTGCGCCCTACACCACTGGAGAAATTACACTGCTTAGCCGGTATTGCACCACCTGACATCCGCCGGGAAGTAGCAGCCAATAGTGAAAGGACCAAGGCAGTGACATCTCCAGCTCATCCCCTGTTTGGGTATCAGCCAGCACATCGACTTAAAATCAAGAAATAGTGTTCTAAGATCTACAGAGACACTCGCTGGAACACCTCAGCAAGCGAGAGTCCAAAAGTGGCAGGCTCAAACCCAGAACCTCAACCAATGGCTGATACCAAATGAGAGACTCCCCCCTGGGCACACAGAGGACTGGACGACTTGGAAGGCGCTGAACAGACTGCGCTCTGGCACCACGAGATGCAGAGTCAACCTTCAGAAATGGGGCTACAAAGTGGAATCCTCGACATGCGAGTGTGGAGAAGAGCAAACCACTGACCACCTGCTGCAATGCAACCTGAGCCCTGCCACATGCACAATGGAGGACCTTCTTGCGGCAACACCAGAAGCACTCCAAGTGGCCAGATACTGGTCAAAGGACATTTAATCAACTACCAAACTCACATTGTATTTTGTCTGTTTGTTTGCTTTGTTCTGTTAGAAATGTAATATAATCGACTGGTTGCCCTGACACGACAAATAAATAGGACTACTGGTATAAATGGTGGCTTACAGCTTTTGACTGTTTTCAAGATAAAAGGCTAGCCACCCAAACCAGAGTAGCAATCTACTTGCCCATAACTACCTGAAACAGTACGTAAGTAAATCTTGGGCCCTTCCACACAGCCCTATGTCCCAGAATATCAAGGCAGAAAATCCCACAATATCTGCTCTGAACTGGGTTATCTGAGCCCACACTCAGATAATGTGGGATCTCCTGCCTTGATATTCTGGGATATAGGGCAGTGTGGAATGGCCCTTTATTTCTGTCCCTCCCTATCTCCCCATGGGGATTCAGGGCAGTTCACAACATAAAAGGTAAACATTCAATCCTGTAAAATCTACACTGTCACAAATCAGAGTCAAATACTGTCATCAGAACAACAAAGATATCCTTAGGTTAACTTTCCAACTGTTGACTGTCTTACCAAGGTGATTTGAATATCAAAAGTATTATCGCTGACAAATCCACTTACCAAATTTTTGCGATGTGCTGGAATGGGATTCCTATCATGGCCTCTGTCTTGAACACCTACATCAGGAGGGTTGAGCTCCCAATCCACTTCTTTAACTGCCACCAGCGCTGCCAAGCAAGTGTTGTCATAACCAGCTGTTATTTCCGAGACAAAATTCTCACTGGATAACAGGAAGTCGGAACAGAAGGTATTAGAGCCAGCATCTGGCTTCAGGGCTCAGTCTAACAACACACTTTCTGGTACCTCTAATTCCAGTGCCAGAATTTGAGGCAAACTGTCAGTGATATCCAAGATGTGAATTCCACATTGATCCATATTCTTGGAAGCAAAAATAATACAAATCAGGTCTCTCTCTGATGGTAGAGTGGCTCTCTCTTCAACCACCTCCATGTACTTAACAAACCATCTTAAGAAAGTGGGGGGGAAACTACAAAAGAATTAAATACCTTTAATATTCCAATGGTCCTCTGTATAGGAAGTTCCTCAGATAGCCTCTTCAACACATTATTCATCTGTACTTCCTCTAACACTGTACAATATAATCTGGCAAATGTAGCAACTTTCTGACAATCAACCAACAGAAAAATGAATGACCAGAATGTATAATACTAACAACATTATTATGAATGAAAACACAGCATATTTAAGCCCTGCTATCCTTCAAACTCCACAGTGACACTGGAGCCTCCTTTATTCTTCATTCCAGTTTGTTTGTTTCAGGAAGACTGCAGTCTCTAGATAAGAGGAGCTCTAGTCCAAATGTTCACCTTAGTGCTCCCCATGGTTTTCCCTCCCTGTCAGAGCCTGAGTAAGAGCACAATGTGTGCACCCCGGCCCCTTTACTTCATTCAGTTTCCTGCCAAGCCATTTCCTAGGGAAACCTCGCCTACAGGAAAGGGGAGGCAACAGGCCAGCTGTGTGATGCTTGACCTAGATGGGCTTGCAAGGAAACTGGGAAAACGTATGGCTTCGTCTGCATCCAACAGGCAACACCAAGACTTAAGGTGTGACGAAAAAACCCAACACTGGACCTGGACATGCCAAAACAAAGAAATCAGTTTGGTCTACTCAGCAAAGTCTGTAGTCAGCATGTCCCACATGATGGCCTATTGACTCCAAAACTGCATCCAGCAGTTTGATTTACCAAGCAGTTTGTGGTATGGAGAAAAGCCTCATTACATGTTAACATGAGAACAAAGTCAACCTTACTTCCCTCACTTTTCACTTTCGATCTTATCAGTGCTTTGCTTACCGTGTTCTTTTCCAGCCACTTCACACTCCAATTCTGCTTGAAACACTCTAGTCCAGTAACTTGGACTTCACAAATTTTGGGCTTCCACCTTGAGTCACACCACTCCTCATTGAAATTCCAACTATTAGAGACTGCAAAGGTGACCATATTATACCATCCAAAGGGGGAAAGGGAAGAGCTTCAGAAATCATTTTGAAGATCCCAGAAGTGTTGTATGGAATATGTCCAGAGGAGAGTAACTAAAATGATCCAGGTTCTGGAGAACAAGCCCTATGAGGAGCAGTTTAAAGAGCTGGGCATGTTTAGCCTGAAGAAGACAAGGCTGAGAGGAGGCATGATGGCCATGTATAAATATGTGCGGGAAAGTCATAGGGAGGAGGGAGCAAGCTTGTTTTCTACTGCCCTGGAGACTAGGACGCAGAACAATGGCTTCAAGCTACAGGAAAGGAGATTCTACCTGAACATTAGGAAGAACTTCCTGACTGTGAGAGCTGTTCAGCAGTGGAACTCTCTGCCCCAGAGTGTGGTGGACGTTCCTTCTTTGGAGGCTTTTAAGCAGAGGCTGGATAGCCATCTGTCAGGAGTTCTTTCAATGCGATTTTCCTGCTTCTTGACATGGGGCTGGACTGGATAGCCCACAAAGTCTCTTCCAACTTTATGGTTCTAGGATTCTTTGATTCTATGATTCTATGTATATATTTGCAGTGTTTGTTGGTTTTCAAAGCAGTAATGACTACATGCAAGTCACAAACAAAAAAAGTCAAATTCCTACTCCAAGGTATGGGCTTTGTTGAGAATATGAGAGTCTACAAAAGAGAAAAGATGTGAGTAAACAAATGATTTGTATGTACACTTACACATTCAGGCATTATTCCTGTTTAGCAACAAGGATGAAAAGATTATAATCTGTTACTATTTTAACATTTCTGGGAATATTTTACAAAAGATGTTTGAAGCCTGGCAAACCAAAAGTAAGATCTTTACAGACTGGGCAGCAGAGGGTGCTCTAAAATTACAGTAGATCCACATACTATGCAAAGGGTCAATTCCCATACCTTTTGCATAATTCATTTTTGTATATCATGTAGAACCTTTTTTTAAAATCTAAAATGGATGACAAAGGCCTTGTAGCCATTGAAGACTTCTGATACAGAGATCTTGTCAGAAGAGGAAAGAGAAGGTGATCCTAGATTGTAGCACCAGGAGAATGATAATGGTTCAATGTCGATGTTGGAAGCAGATGTTGCCGGTAGGATGTTTTTCCACTTCCTCATCCAGCATCCATCTCTGTTTCTCCAAGTTGTCATGTTTCTTCAATGATTCTCCTAACTTCTGCATTAACTCCCAGGAGGAAATGTAAATCCTCCACAACGCCACTCCATAAGTTCCTCCATCTTGCAGTTCGTGGATTTAATTCATCCATTACAGCTTTGATTAATGTTCCTGCATCAACAATTGTGAAAGTTTTTCTGCACTGCATTATATCCACATTAGGATCTGTATCAATTGCTGCCACACAGTACTCAAATACCTGGTGGGTCTACATGACCTGGTCAACGGGCTGAATCAGTGTGGTTGTAATGGGCTGTAAGAAGACAATATTGAATATTTTCATATCAAAGAGATGCAGGAAGGCCGAGTACATTATCTACTAATGATAGGACCATATAGGCCAAGCCTTCCTGTTGCAAATATTTTTTTTACTTAGAATCATAGAATCATAGAATCAAAGAGTTGGAAGAGACCTCATGGGCCATCCAGTCCAACCCCCTGCCAAGAAGCAGGAATATTGCATTCAAATCACCCTGACAGATGGCCATCCAGCCTCTGTTTAAAAGCTTCCAAAGGAGGAGCCTCCACCACACTACGGGGCAGAGAGTTCCACTGCTGAACAGCTCTCACAGTCAGGAAGTTCTTCCTAATGTTCAGATGGAATCTCCTCTTGTAGTTTGAAGCCATTGTTCCGCGTCCTAGTCTCCAGAGAAGCAGAAAACAAGCTTGCTTCCTCCTCCCTCCTCTCACATATTTATACATGGCTATCATATCTCCTCTCAGCCTTCTCTTCTTCAGGCTAAACATGCCCAGCTCCTTAAGCCGCTCCTCATAGGGCTTGTTCTCCAGACCCTTGATCATTTTAGTCGCCCTCCTCTGGACACATTACAGCTTGTCAATATCTCTCTTGAATTGTGGTGCCCAGAATTGGACACAATATTACAGATGTGGTCTAACCAAAGCAGAATAGAGGGGTAGCATTACTTCCTTAGATCTAGACACTATGCTCCTATTGATGCAGGCCAAAATCCCATTGGCTTTTTTTGCCGCCACATCACATTGTTGGCTCATGTTTAACTTGTTGTCCACGAGGACTTCAAGATCTTTTTCACACGTACTGCTCTCGAGCCAGGCATTGTCCCATTCTGTATCTTTGCATTTCGTTTTTCCTGCCAAAGTGGAGTATCTTGCATTTGTCCCTGTTTAACTTCATTTTGTTAGTTTTGGCCCATCTTTGCATTTCATTTTTTCTGCCAAATTGGAGTATCTTGCATTTGTCACTGTTGAACTTCATTTTGTTAGTTTTGGCCCATCTCTCTAATCTGTCAAGATCGTTTTGAATTCTGCTCCTGTCCTCTGGACTATTGGCTATCCCTCCCATATACTTCTGGGGTATAGTATTGGTGAAACCATTCAGTCAACAAGATGACTGTCAATTATAATTTTATATTTTGCTGCCAGGAAAAAACTTGTTTTTTCTTGTTAAGGGTGTGTAGAATCTTTAATCGCACACTACACTTGGCTTTATCATATGTTTTGCAGAGTTGCCACATAGAACAAGAATTAATCTGTCTTTCTGTGTTTTATGCTGGACGTTTCCAGTCCACCTTACTTGTCCAAATGTATATCCTTCTATGAACCATCTCAGAGGTTAAGAACTTCTGGGGAGGCCCTGCATTCGGTCACACCTCCTTCACAGGTGCTGTTGGTGGGGACGAGAGACAGAGCCTTCTCCGTGGTGGCCCCTTGGCTGTGGAACTCCCTTCCTAGAGAAATCAGATCAGCCCCCTCCCTCCTGGCCTTCAGAAAAAAGCTAAAAATGTGTTGTGGGACCAAGCTTTCAGATAGCAATCTCCCAGTGCAATACGTGAATGTGGAATAGTGCAATGACAATGGGAATGGCCTTCAACTATGGTATTGGATTACGTGATTTTAATAAGTGCTTTTAATTGCTTGATATGTGTTTAGTGCTTGGTTTTAATGTATTTATTTATCTTGTCTGATGTGGCATCAAATTGTGCCTTATATGTAAGCTGCTCTAAGTCTCCTTCGGGGTGAAAAGGATGGGGTATAAATAAAGCAAATAAATAAATAAAATAAAATATGCTCTGTTATCACCTTTCCAACAGATTATAGTGGGGATTTTTTTTTTCAGAAGAGCCTAGGTTCACTGCAATAGTATCCTAGATTTGAAAGGGACTCCTAAAGAAGGACAATTATATGTTGCATGTTCCAGAGTAGGCAAACCAGACAATCTCTACATCAACACTGACAAAGAAACAGCAAGAAATACTATTTACCCACAAGCATAAAGAAATTACATATATTAGAAACCAACACTTTCTCATTACTTTATTTTCCAAATCATCAGACTGGGCCATAGCAATGCATGGCAGGGGATGGCTAGTATATAACTAAAGTCACATAACACAAACTTGCACAGTATGTGGGTCTACTGTATTCAAATATTGCATCTACATATCTTCAAATTACTTCTTGACTTCTGACAATTCCATAAATTCAATAGGGTTTTCTTAGGCAATGAATAACAGAAGTGTTTTTGCCAGTTCCTTCTTCTGAAACATAGCCTACAGCACCTGGTGTTTGTTGGTGATCTCCCATCCAAGGATGACTGTACGTCGGTGCCAAGATCAGACAGGATCTGCTACTTTTAGGGTAGTTAGGCCCCAGGTGTAAAATTATGTGATAGATGGTAGGGGTGGTGCATGCTGAGACTCATCACATCCCCATTAGAACTTCAGTTTGGCTTCCGTTTCTTAAGGGGGGAAAGCATAGCACAGAGTTGGATACCATTTTCCAAATAAAGTTCATTTCTATCGCTTCTGAGGCTCAGATCAGGGGAGCCAAACGATTTTAAAACATATTCCCCAT